TGTTGAATATTGAATATTGAATATTGAATATGAGTAAATATTGAATGATGAATATTGAATTGAATATTGCAATTATTATGAATGACTGATGAACATTGAATGTGAATATAAATGTTGAATAATGCATGATGAATAATTTTTAATAATTATTGATTATCTGAACTGAACATTATGTGCATGATATCAAATGATTTGATTATGAATTTAGATTCAGTTTATATGGATGTTCGATGCATTAGATATGCTTACTCAGCTTCAACGCTGAGCGTGTAGTATGTTTTATTTGCTACACGCAGGTTAATGAAGTGACGTGATCCTGGAGGCAGACGGAGGCGAGATTGTCGGAATGGATGTGATGGTTTTGAATTAAAGAACATAAATAAATTATGTTGGTGATTATGATTGTTAAGCTTCCGCAATATTGAAAACTCCGTACTGTTTATATTATGAAAAATATTATTGTGATAAATAAAAGTGTTTGAAATGTTTTAAATTTTTACGATTACCAAGTTAATACTTTAATTTAAAAGGGGCTGCAGACCTGGACAAATTAGGGTGTTACAGTTTGGTATCGGAGCAAATGGTTTTAAACCCGACCTTCGGATCGAAATTTGATTTTAAAAAAATAATAATAAAATAAAATGTCAATCACATCCACAACTCTCGCATCCCTCTGCTCCAGGAAAAAGGTATGAGAATTTACTTAGTAAATGTTGATTTTGTTAAAATTCTCATTAGATAATACGAGTAATTGTTAGTACAAAAAAAAACTACATCGAGCTAGACTCAAGTCAATCCTTCGTACTCGGTGAAGAGACGAAAGAGTAAACGAAATGTGTATAACCTTCTGATACGTTATTCGCGTACACATCGCATCGCGAATGGCAAAATTGATCTATACCGGAACGCCTCGTAGAAGTAAGACGACTTTGAAGAAACGATTAATATTGATTTTACGAACAACATCTGAGAAGCTGAGCTCAAAGATCCTGACTCAAGATGATCTGATTGCTGATTCAAACACGAACGTTTAGAATTAATAAACTCTGTTATCTGAAGTATTCCATTCTGATTTCTAATTCATTACGATGCAAATATGTGGTTATATCACATAAATCGAAATCGTTCGTTAAGCGATAATTCCTTGTAAAACATTGTTGAAATACCATACAAGGAAATTGACATTATCCTTAGTATGAATTGACTGACTGAACGCCGTTGTTGTTAACAACTTGTGATGAAGAATTACTCAACTAAAGACCGATGATGGTAAACTCATAGAGGTGAAAGAAAATCTGATATCTAAACCAACCGAATTCATCTCGAAAATATATATACGAAAACATCTCAAATAGAAGAAGTGTGAAGTCTACGCGAAAAGAAACATCTGAACTGAAGTAACGTACCGAAAGTATGTCACCTCTCTGATATGAATTTCCTAATATTTCACCGTTCCGAGAAATTGAATTCTCT